ACGGCCACCTTCAGCAACCGTTGCTGCAACCGGCCCAACTCCGCCCCGTCCGTCAGGTCCTCCCTTGGTGCCCTGCCTGTTCGTTTCTGGAGCGCGCGCTGCCGCGGATCCCACGGTGCGCAACAGGACGCACCATGCTTGACAGGGAGAGAGGGCGAGAGAGGCCACACGGACCGGCGCTTTGGGGAAAGAATCATGCCCACTTTAATCCAAATCGCCCGCGCCCTCACGTCTTGGGTCGGTGCGCACGGCCACAAGCTTGTTTTGCTTTGCTCGCGCGCACAGAAAGCCATGGATTGCTGGACCGCACGATGGTGCAGCAAGACGGCCGGGGGAGTTCGTGCACGTCCCTTCGCTTGGTTTCTCTGCTGTCAGTCTTTTTTGGGCAGGCCGCTGCACCGCCTGCCTCGGTGCACATGGCGGATCCTCTTGGTCTGCCTGATGACGAGTCGACTCGGCGCAGTGCCTCAGTGCGCGCGCGCGCATATAAAGCGCGACCGGTCCCCCGCATCGGTAGCGACTTGTCTCCTCACCGAAGCACAAGCGTCATTTCCGCTACCACTCTCCCAGACGCTCGGAACCGGGCCCAAGTGTCCTTGCCGCTGAACGCCATGATCTGCCTGCCCGCCCCCGCGTTCGATACCGCACCGACAACGATGCCGCTCTCGCTGCCACTGATCCCGTCCGTGCCTCATGCTGCCGCCGACACCATACCCGCTCCGTCCCACCCCACCCCGCTCGCCCTGCCTCTCTCGCTGCCGTCACTCGCGCCATACGCGCCCGTGGACCTCACATCACTAAGCGCCCGTCGCGTCGTGCTCGCGCCGGTCGACTCGGCGCGGCTCGCGGCCACGATTCGGCGCTTGTCGTGCACGACCGAAGCGCCTGCCGTCGCGCGGAAACGCAACCCAACGGTCAAGTTCCCGCGCATCCCGACGCTGCCCGAGTCGCCGCACGTCGTCGTGCGTGCACGACCCGCTGACGAAAAGGAAGAGGACGAGGACCAAGAGGAGCTCGCGCACCTTGCCAAGCGTCGGCGGTCGGTGAGCAATCTCAAGGAGGCGAACAAGCAAGCTGCCGCGTCGCTGCTGTCGCCGCTGTGGACCGACGAGGACGTGGCCGCAATTGACGCGACGGTTGCGGCCGAGAGCCGTGCGCTGTGGCTCGCGAGCGCCGACGAGGGCGTGCAGCTGTTCTCGGACGCGCGTGATGCCGCGCAGGTCTAAGGCGACGTGGAGTACCCGTCGCGTATCGGGCGTGATTTTGCGCCACGAGAAAACCAAGTCGATCCTTGTCGTTCTTTTACCGTTTTTCTTGTTGGATGCTTTTCGTATTGTCGCTGTTGAGCGCGCGTAATCTGTCTGTTGGGAATGGCCTGTTTCACGCACGAAGCTTGTGAGCGGGTTGCCGGGTTGGGTGGAAAGTTGTCGCCGTCGCTGGTTGTTTCTTTTTGATTTGGACGGCGAAGAGGGTCATGGGGAGTGTAGCGATGGATATTTTTTGCAGAACAATTGAAACCGTAATGCTTTGGAGCGGATTACTTTGCGCCGTGAGCATTGAGCGCGCCCGTGTCGTCGTCTCCCAGGCCCACCTCTGGTCACAGACGACTGTGGGGCTCGCGATGGTGGTGGTTGCGCGTCTGAGGGCGACATGGTCTCCCGGCTCATCAAGTCGCGCACGTGGTGGCGCGGCGCGGCTGGAGTGGGCCTGGCATGCACCAACCAGCAGCACCCGACCTCCACCATTGCGCCAGCGCCGCCACGACCGCTGCTCCAGCGACAGCGACGCCCAAATCTCGCCACCGCCATTCTGCACGCGACCGTGTGCTCGAGCGCGCTTGCCCAGGAGGAGACCGCCCGCCGCGACGCGCGTTCACTGCGGCTCCCACTTGGCCATCGGCTCGAAACGACTTCCAGCAGCACCGGTCGCCTCGCATTGGCACGGGATTTGCTCGACCACCACCGACCACCTCCCCGCACGCAATCCGCCCCGCGACCACACGCTTCCCGGCCGCCGCGCCCGTGGCCACCGCGCGACCACGCTCCGTCCTGCGCGCGCGCACGTTGTGCCGACCACGACCACCCGAATTGGGCACCGAATCCGCGAGTGGTCGCGCTGCTGCGTCGCTTCTCCGCGGGCTCACGAACGCGCCTCGGTCGGCGCGCAACGCTCGCCGTACATACACCGCGCGCTTCGCGCTCCCGCGCATTGCAACGTTTCCCGTATGTCGTCCTCTGTGGTAAATTCTTCGTCCCGGAATGGTGGCAACCGGCCCGGACGCGGTGGCGGCGTGGACAATCGCTCGGCGCATGAACGTGCCAATGGCCGCCGTTCTTACGTTGGCGTTGGCCGCGCCCCCACACCGCGCGTCGCCATCGTCCCCGTCGCCCATCCCCCGCGCGCCATCCCCGCAGCAGCTTCCGAGCGCTTCGACTGACAGCGAGTGCGCGGCCAACACGAATTCTAGCCCTCTCTCTCCCGATGCCGCGACCACCGTCTCCAGCGCGCGCCGTGCGCGTGCCTCTGCGGCGCCGGTTGCCGCCCACCGCCGCGTCCCCCGTCCTCGTCACGCTGGTCGCGCTCGCCCTAGCCGCCGCGCTCACGGCGCACGCGGCGCCGCAATCTGGCGGTGGTTCTTCGGCACAGTGCATCGACGTGACGCCGACCGACAGCACGCAGCTGTGCTACGGGTTCCCGAAACTGCAAGTGCCCAAGAACATGGGCGCGTTTATCGGGCAGTACGTACCGACCAACGGGACGGTCCCCGCAGGTGCGCCCGCGGCCTCCGTCAATTCGGCCGCCGACTTCCAGGCGGTCATGTCGTTTGCCGTGCGATCCGGGTTCGCGGCATTCGCGCAGCGGTCGTTCAAGTGTGTTCCGACGGTGCTCAACGGGCGGTGGTACAAGGCCATGACGTGTGCGGCCGCCGCGTCGTTTGCCGCCAAGTCCGGCTGTCCCGCCGCGGGCGCGACGCTGTGCCCTGCGACGGTGGACGAGTTTTTCCTGACGTTCTCGCAGGCCATCGCGCACCCGAGCAACAACTGTCCGTCCGAGGCGGCGGGCGCGGTCGCGGCGATGCAGTCTGGGTCGAGTATTCGCAAGTCGGCGGTCGCCGAGAATTGCGTCGACGGGAAAGTCATTGAAGGGAAGGCGCTCTGCGGGTTCTCGTCGGTCGCGCAGGCGTGTGCGCACTCGTGCCCGGACTCGGATTTTGTCGCGACGCTCAAGGACGATACGTGCAAGACGGCGATCAGTAACCACAAGCCGTCGCCGCCGCCGACCGTCGAGTTCCTCTCGGCGAGCTCGTCGACGTCGTCGGTCGCGTCGTCGAATAGCCCGTCGGGGACCGGCACGGGTGCGGCGGTCGCGTCCGCCGCTCCGTCGGCGACGCCGTCGGGCACGACCGACGCACTGGCCGCCAATTCGTCGGGCGACGGGTTCATGGAAAAGCAGGTCCTCGGCGTGCAGGGCAAGTACTGGGTGTTTGGCGGGGCCGGCCTTGTAGGCGTAATCGCGATCGTCGCCGGGCTTTTGGTGGTGCGCAAGCGCAGGTCGGCTTCCGCAAGTGCCGCAGCCAAGCGGGATATGCGCGAAATGGACGACAAGCCCATGGCCCGCGGTGCGCCGCCGCCCGATACGTTTGGCAACATGCCGCCCGGCTCGCCGGGCGAGTTTGGGTCGGGCAAGCACGCCGAGGCGCTCGATAATGGACAGTACTTTGACGACCGGTACGGCGCGCCGCCGCCGCCACCGCCACAAGGGAACGGGTACCCGCCGAGCCCCGCCGGTGGTGCTGGGTACGGCAACGATTACTACGGCCAAGGGAACTCGCCGGCGGGCCCGATGCCAGCGCCGCTCCCGCCCAACTCGCCGATGAACAACAACAGCGCGAATGCCGCGCGGTCGCGCGAGACGTGGGCGGCCGTCGCGCCGCGCCAGTCGGTGCGGCCGCGGTCGATGATGCCGCACTCGGTCCCGCGCGCGCGGCCGGTCGTTCTCTCTTACGCGCCGCGACTCGAGGACGAGCTCGACTTGCACCGCGGCGACATGGTCACGCTCTGGGAAGATAACGGCGACGGGTACGGGTACGGCCAAGTGGCCGATGGCCGCGAGGGCGTCTTCCCGCTCATGTGCCTGGCGCCCGAGGACGCGCCGCCAATGCCGCCGATGCCACCGCAAGGAGCGCAGAACAAACAGCAGCCGGGTGCGCCGAACGGCCCGGCGCCGCAAGAGGGCGGGATTCGCGAGACAGTGATCAACCCAACGGCCTACCGGTTCACGCAGTACACGGTCGCGTCGGACTCGGACGATGACGAGTACCCGCCGCCGCCGCCACCGCCCGCGGGGATGCGTGGGCCCGGTGGACCGCCGCCGGCGGCGTACCGCCCGAACAACGGCGGGCCGCAGATGCAGCAGCCGCAGCCGAGTTACGGTGGAGGTGGTGGTGGGTACGGCGGCGGAAACGCCGGGTACAATGGTAACGCCGGTAATGGCCGTTGGTAGAGTGCTTGGGACCATAGACGCTGGTTGCCTCCCGTCCCTTTTTTGATTCGTCGTTGTATTCCCGTGTGTTTTTGCCCCCACCCACCCGTGCTTCGCGCACCCGTCCTGCTCTTCTCTTTGTCATTGTCCGTCGTTTCCGTTAGACCTGCCCCTACCTTCTTTTTGCATCGCTCCTGTTGTATTTGTTGCCTGTCGATATGCGTAACGGCGCACTCCCATGTTGATCAATTTTGAATCGCTTTTGTGTCCCGTCCCAGCCGCCTCTCAGCGGCCATACTTGCCGTCGTGGATAGCCAGCCGTCGACGGTAATCTCGCTCATCCAGCATGGGTTCCGACAGCAACACTCACATCGCAACGCTAACACGAGCTGAGAGCAGCGTTCACCGCGCCAGAGACTATCAGCTGGATTGTAACCAGGGTCGCCCTCGACATGAGGCCGTGCCATTCGCGTCATTACCAACGACGCGGGCTGGTGTGAAGCAAGGGCGGGCCGCGCTTTCACAAGCGGATTCGAACTACTGCAGGCAAGGCCTAATTGATTTTTGGTCAATCTCCTTGAACACCCGGCCAAGTTGTCGAATACCCCAAAAAATTGCGAGCGAGGTGGGATTCGAACCCACGACTTCAACCTTCGGAGGGTTGCGCGCTAGCCACTGCGCCACACGCCCGGTGCGCCTGCCTTCGGGCCCACGGTTCTTCACGCGCAGATAGTTTTTGCGCTCGTCGCGGTCGACTACTGCGATTTTGGCGCACGGCTCAGTGTGCGCCTCGACTTGCAGGCGGCCAATGCGGGCGCGGCAAACCAACGCCAGTCAGCGCCCGCGCTCACGGCGCGCCGCGTCGTGCGGTCTTCGAACACGGATTTGTGGTCGGCGCAGCAGCTTGCGCGCGGTTCAGCACGTCGACGTCAAGTTGACGTGGGTCTAGGGGCACAGCAGCGAGTTCGTGAATGAAGTTGCGGACCGGCGCGCACGCCCGAGTCGGCCGTCCACCTCACGGACACGGTTTTTACGCACCCGCAATGGGGACTCGCAACGACGCCGGCGGTACTTGGCGTGCCTGCATGGTTGGACCCGCGTCGTCTTTCGCTGTGGCTCGCCGACACGGAGCGGTGCGCCGTCATGCTCGGTGTCCACCTTGAGGGTCTACCGTTCGTCGCGACAGGACGCGACAGGCCTTGCTATTCACGGTAGTGCGCACCCGCCCACGCTCGTCACGTCTCGCAAGCAGAACCAGGCCACGTCCTTCCGCCTCCAGTCGCTGTTCGGTGCCTGATGACGCGCGAACGGATGCACGACCTGCTCGGCGAGCGGTTCCCCGCAGGCCGCGCATACCTGTGTGGCGCGGTCGACGGGCAGCTGCACCACTTTGTGTGCCCGCACCTCGCGATCGAGCGCCCGAGTCCTCGATCGTCTTCGCGCCGACGTGGCCAAAGTCGTCCATGACCTGCTTGCTGACGCACGGCCCGACGAGCGCCCGCTGGACCTGTGCGACCTCGCCGACCGGTTTGCACTGTACCTGCTGTTGCGCGACCTGGACCCGCTGAATTTGCGCCGTCTCGCAGCAGCCACCGTGGTCATGCGAGCCGATCTTGCCAAGTGGAAGCAACTGTTCCTGCTGCACGGCGTGCCCATGCCCACGCGTGCCCATGCCCACGCGTGCCACCGACCATGCCACGCCCCTGCCGTGGTCCAAGGTGCCGTCCCCACGCGCCGCGCTTGTGCGCATCATGGACGCGGTGTCGACTGTGATCCAGTCGGAATTGCGCTTGCCGCATGTTCGTGACCTGATCGAGGACGCGCCGCCGCGTTGTGACCGTGAACTGCGCGCCACTGGCGCGCCAGGCCAAGTCGCTGTGATCCGTCGCCGGCGTCGTGCCCTGCGCTATTCTGTCGCGCCGCAATGCGTGCAGTGTGGCGAGAAGGAGGCGCAGCACGCGCGCCCCGTGTGCGAGGTGCGGATCGCGGCCCGTCACCGCATCGCGGACATCCTCTAAGCTGATTTGTCGAGCTTGTTGAGTTGGTCGGGAGGAGGCGGCTGAGTTGGTTGATGGGTTGCGTTTCTGGGGGTGGTTTGCTTGTTAGTCGCCCCCGCCAATAGCTGCCCGCGCGTTCAAGTTGCTGAGGATGGCGGGCCGGGTGCGCGGGCAGACAATTTTTTGTTTTGGAGCTGACCCTCACACCGTGCCGGTTCTCCTCTTTTTGTTTCTGCGTATTGCTCTCCCAATGACAGTCGTTAGTTGCGTACGGTTTGTAGCTGATCAGCCAATAAACATCGTCGAGGATTTACCCCGTTGAAAGACAAAATTTTGTCGAGTTATTTATTTGCTTGTGCAATGCCCTCTCCTTTCCTTGGTTTCTTTGCAGTCTTCTCGCTTTTCGGGGCCGCCCTGTCAGGGTGCCCTTTTTGCATCCGATCCAAGCTTGGAACCCATTTTAGTGCTGGCCGCTGTGGTGCATGACGAGCTCACAAAAGCGAACGAATTCTTCGTTGAGTGGGCGATGGCGAGCTTGAGTTTGTGACTTGGGCCCAGGGTGGATGCGGTTTGAAAACTGGAACGGCGATGAATGATCCTTTCCCGGCATGCAACCAAAACGAAAACGTGACTAGGGACATGATCATATTGAAACGAAGCAACGCATCACCAAACCAAAGACATCAAACCAAGGCACTGCAGGAAGGCCGGGTCGCAACGGCCGCGATCACTTGCGGCCCAGACAACGGGGCCCATGAACGCGGCGCATGCTCTCCCCTTGACAAATGCGCTTAGTAGACACGCTTGGCCGGGGGCACGGGCTTGCACTCGTTCTCATCGAGCGTCGTCTTAGTGACGGCACGGTACTTGAGCGTCGTCTCGCGCGTCTTGTCGTCGTGCCACGACAGCGTGTGCTTCTGCCAGTTCTCGTCGTCGCGCTCCTTGTAGTCCTCACGCGCGTGCGCACCGCGCGACTCCTTGCGCGCCGCCGCCGAGTACATGGTCTGGACGGCGCAGGTCAACAGGTTCTGCAGCTCGAGCGTCTCGACCAGGTCGGTGTTCCAGATCAGACCCTTGTCGGTGACACGCACGTCCTCGAAGGACTTGACCACCTCGTCGATCTTCTGGACACCTTCGTCGAGCGTCTCCTGCGTGCGGAACACGGCCGCGTCCGACTGCATCACCTTCTGCATGGCCAGGCGGATCTCGGCGGTACCCTTGGGGCCCTGCGCGTTGCGCATCGTGTCGAGGTTCGCAAACGACGCGTAACCCGCATCCTTGGCGATCGGCGCGAGCGGCTTGCCCGGCTCGGTCGTCTCGGCAATGTGGTTGGCGACGGCGCGACCGAACACGACAATGTCGAGCAGCGAGTTGGCGCCGAGACGGTTGGCGCCGTGCACCGAGACACACGCAGCCTCACCGGCCGCATAGAGACCCGGCACGATCTTGTCGTTACCGTTCTCGTCGATCGTCAGAACCTCGCCCGTGTACTTGGTCGGGATCCCACCCATGTTGTAGTGCACGGTCGGGATGACGGGGATCGGTTCCTTGGTCACGTCCACACCGGCGAAAATCGCCGCCGTCTCGGAAATACCGGGCAGGCGCTCGTGCAGGACCTCCTTGGGCAGGTGCGACAGCTGCAGGTAGATGTGGTCGGCCTCGGGCCCGACACCGCGGCCCTCGCGGATCTCGATCGTCATCGATCGCGACACGACATCGCGCGACGCGAGGTCCTTGGCGGTCGGAGCGTACCGCGCCATAAACGGCTCGCCCTTGCCGTTGAGCAAAATACCACCCTCACCACGCGCGCCCTCGGTGATCAGGCATCCAGACCCGTAGACACCCGTCGGGTGGAACTGCACAAACTCGAGGTCCTGCAGGGGCAGGCCCGCGCGCGCGACCATGGCGTTGCCGTCGCCCGTGCACGTGTGCGCGGACGTGCACGAGAAGTAGGCACGGCCGTACCCGCCGGTGGCCAGGACCGTCTTGTGCGCCAAAAACCGGTGCAGGGTGCCGTCCTCCATGCACAGCGCGGTCACACCCTTGCAGACGCCGTCCTCCATGATCAGGTCCATGGCAAAGTACTCGATAAAGTAGTTGGTGTTGTGCCGCAGCGACTGGCCGTAGAGCGTGTGCAGGATCGCGTGGCCCGTGCGGTCGGCGACGGCCGCACACCGGTAGGCCTGCCCGCCCTTGCCAAACTCGAGCGACTGCCCGCCAAACGCGCGCTGGTAGATCTTGCCGTCCTTGGTGCGAGAGAAGGGCACACCGTATTGCTCGAGTTCAATGACCGAGTTGGGCGCTTCCTTACACATGTAGTGAATCGCGTCCTGGTCACCGAGCCAGTCGGACCCCTTGACCGTGTCGTACATGTGCCACCGCCAGTCGTCCTTGGTCATGTTGCCGAGCGCCGCGTTGATCCCGCCCTGCGCGGCGACCGTGTGCGAACGCGTCGGGAACAGCTTCGACAGGCAGGCCACGTTGAACCCGGCTTCGGCGAGACCGAACGCCGCACGGAGACCGGCACCGCCGGCACCGACGACGATCGCGTCGTACTCGTGGTCGATGACGGTGTAGGGCAGCGTCGACGTGGCCGTGTTGTTGTTGATCTTGATCTGGATGGTTGAAAATCGAGAGAGGGGAGGTCAGTGTCGTGCGGGATCGCCGAGAGCACTGGAGAGCGGAATGAGCGCACCTCGGCCGTCTTGGCGCGCAGCGGCTCCGTGGCCTGGACCTGGGCGCGGAGGGCCGACGACGAGAAGGCGCGCGACTCTGGAGAATGGAGGATAGAAGGGTGAGGCGAAGGATGCATTGCAAAATCGGCACCGACCGGCACCGAGTAACATTCCGCACGAGCATCGCGCTCGAACGTGTCTACGAGCGACTCGAGCGCGTGCTGAACTTGAGCAGCGTTGTGACATGCAACACGTACGAATGCGCGAGACCGACTTGGCCTGAACATGAGCGATGGGCGGCGGAAGGGACGGTGAGCTCACTGAATGTGGACCAGACAACATCCACGGCACCGTAACGCACGCAATAACGTACCAGCAAGGACCGGAGGGCGCTCATGGTGGAAAACTTGGGGTAATGAAAGGCGGAGCGAGCGGCAGGGCCGGTGGTGCGGGCGGGCAAGTCGTCGAGGTCGCGAAATGGATCAGCGGCAGGTGCGTGGGCGCGTTGGCGGGTCCAAATGCGAGTAGTGCTGGAGCCTGGTGACAGCTAGGTTGGCCTCGTCGCGGTCGTCGTCGTCGGCGTTGGTGCCGGGCGTGGTGATGGTGAGATGGTGGAGGTGGTTGGTTGGTTTTGTTGGAGCGAGTTCGTGCCGTTCGCCGGCCAGCGCGATCGGTCGTTCGTGAAGGGCTAGGATCACGCAGGGCAACGTGACGTGTGTTGATGGCGGCGCGCCGATGCAAATGACTTCTTTTGCCCTCCGTTTCGGGCCGATCCGGGGAACGCTTCATCTGTCTATTTTGAGAACAAATTACGTGACAAGGTGTCGTTATTTCTTGCTCATTTCGCGCAGATTACTCTCCAACACTGATCGCGCCTCTCGCCTCTCGCTGATCTCCACGACCACCACCAGCGACCACCATGGCTGCAAC